TCACTATCAAGCAGGAACTGCCGTGACAAAATTTACGTTATAAAATTTAGATACTTCAAATCCGAATTTAATCCTTTCTGGACTATAGGCGGATATATCAGATAGCATTTTGTGTATAGAGGACAGTAGGCGGATATATCTGCCGATTATTACGACAGTTATTGTTAAGTTATAGTAGTTGTCTATAACATCATCAATCTTACTGAAAACGTCAGGAAGTGACGTAGGAAGACGTAGGAAGTGATGAATGAAGTAGTCAAGGCGAGCTGTCCGGAGTGTGGAAACTGTTTATGACGATTAGATTAAGGTATCTACAAACTTAAAATGCTATGAGAAGGGAGAAAACAGGTCCGTGACGCAGGAAGTGGTGAAGGAAGTAGTAAAGGCGAGTTGTCTGGAGTGTTGGATCTGTTTATGACCAATAGCTTAAGGTATCTACAAACCTAAAACGCTATGGGAAGGGAGGAAAACAGGTCCGCGACGTATGAAGTGGTGAAGGAAGTAGTCAAGGCGAGCTGTCTGGAGTGTGAAAACTGTTTATGACGATTAGATAAAGGTAATATTAAAGGCATTCATAAAATTCTATGGAAATGGAGGAAAAGGGGTCCGAGACGTAGGAACTGGTGAAGGAAGTAGTAAAGGCGAGCTGTTCGGGGTATGGAATCTGTTTATGACCATTAGATTAAGGTATTTGCAATCCTAAAATGCTATGGGAAGGGAGGAAAAGGGGTCCGCGACGTAGGAAGTGGTGAAGGAAGTAGTCAAGGCAAGCTGTCCGGAGTGTGGAAACTGTTTATGACGATTAGATTAAGGTATCTACACAAACCTAAAATGCTATGGGAAGGGAGGAAAACAGGTCCGTGACGAAGGAAGTGGTGAAGGAAGTAGTAAAGGCGAGTTGTCTGGAGTGTTGGATCTGTTTATGACCAATAGATTAAGGTATCTACAAACCTAAAATGCTATGGGAAGGGAGGAAAACAGGTCCGCGACGTATGAAGTGGTGAAGGAAGTAGTCAAGGCGAGCTGTCCGGAGTGTGGAAACTGTTTTTGACGATTAGATAAAGGTAATATTAAAGGCATTCCTAACATTCTATGGGAATGGAGGAAAAGGGGTCCGCGACGTAGGAATTGGTGAAGGAAGTAGTAAAGGCGAGTTGTCCGGAGTGATGGATCTGTTTATGACCAATAGATTAAGGTATCTAAAAACCTAAAATGCTATGGGAAGGGAGGAAAACAGGTCCACGACGTATGAAGTGGCGAAGGAAGTAGTCAAGGCGAGCTGTCCGGAGTGTGGAAACAGTTTATGACAATTAGATTAAGGTATCTACAAACCTAAAATGCTATGGGAAGGGAGGTAAACAGGTCTGTGACGTAGGAAGTGACGAAGGAAGTAGTAAAGGCGAGTTTTTCGGAGTGTGGCAACTGTTTATAACGATTAGTTTAAGGTATCTGTAATCCTAAAATGTTATGGAAAGGGAGGGAAACGGGTCCGTGACGTAGGAAGTGGTGAAGGAAGTAGTGAAGGCGAGTTGTCCGGAGTTTGGGAACTGTTTATGACGATTAGATTAAGGTATCTGCAATCCTAAAATGCTATGGAAAGGGAGGGAATCAGGTCCGTGACGTAGGAGGTGGTGAAGGAAGCAGTAAATGCGAGCTGTCCGGAGTGAGGGAACTGTTTATGACGATTAGATTAAGGTATATGCAATCCTAAAATGCTATGGAAAGGGAGGGAATCAGGTCGGTGACGTAGGAAGTTGCGAAGGAAGTAGTAAAGGAAATGTTGTTTAGAGTGTGGGATATGTTTATAACCAATAGATTAAGGTATTTGCAATCCAATAATGCTAAGGGTAGGGAGCGAAACAGGTCCGAGACGTAGGAAGTGGTGAAGGAAGTAGTCAAGGCGAGCTTTTTGGAGTGTGGGAACTGTTTATGACGATTAGATTAAGGTATCTACAATCTTAAAATTCTGTGGGAATAGAGAGAAACAGGCCCGCGACATAAGAAGAGGTGAAGGAAGTAGTAAGGTGAGCAGTGTGGAGTGTGGGAACTGGGAACCCCTTGTAGCAGTTAGATTAATGTATCTGCAATGCTGAAATGCTATGAGAAGGGATGGAAGCATGCCCGCGACATAGAAAATGGTGAAAGAAGTAGTAAAGGCTAGCGGTGTGAAGTGTGGGCAATGTTTGTGGCAATTATATTAACGTATCTAAAATACTAAAATGCTATGGAAAGTGATGAAAACAGGTCCACGATGTAGGAAGTAGCTTAGGAAGTAGTAAAGTATGAGCATAATGTGAGAACCGTCTGTGGCAGTTAGATTAATGTATCTTCAATCCTAAAATGCTAAGAGAAGAGAAGGAAACAGGCCCCACGACGTAGGAAGTGGTGAAGGAAATTTTAAAGGCTGGCAGTGGAGAGTGGGGGAACCGTTTGGGCAGTTAGATAAATGTATCTAATACCATTATAAAGTCAATATACCAATATATAGTCAATTATAATACTTAAATGCTACGAGAAGGGAACGAAACAGGTCTATGGCGTAGGAAATGGTGAAGGAAGTAGTAAGGCTTGCAGTGCAGAGTGTGGGAACTGCCTTTGGCAATTACATAAATGTATCTGCAATCCTAAAATGCTATGGGAAGAGAGGGAAAAAGGTCCACGACGTAGGGGGTGTTGAAGGAAGTAGTAAAGGTGAGCAGTGTTGAGTGTGGGAATGGATTAATGTATCTGCAATGCTAAAATGCTATGGGAAGAGACTGTAGACTGTAGGTTAAAATTATTACAAAGCACAAATCGATACATATTTCGATACATGCAATCGTTTACAATAGAAATTTACAACTAACCTAAAAAACGATCTTTACTCCCTAAAGAGTAAAAATGCTACTTTAGACCCGCAACGCATGCATTAAAAACGACTGTTTTGACTGCAGCATGACAAAAACAATATAGTATGAACCCCTGATGACTCCGCTCAATTTTGTGGATGCCTCTGCAAACGCCACCTAGTACAGTAATTAACTGTAAACCGGTAAAAAAATCAATAATTAAAACTTATTTACTATCCAAAATTAACATAAATGTAGTACTTTGAAACAAAATTTGTGGTAGAAAATGGTTTTCTTAGGCCTACTGAAGCAGTTTTTAACATTACGTATTTCGCCTTTAAAGTTGCCGTTAGTTAGGCCTACTTAGGATTAACTGTAAAACGTTAAAAAACTAATTACAATTACAATTATGTATTTTCAAAAGTTAACTAAACTAAAAGTCAAAGCTAAAACATCAATTCAATCCACAGTTGAGCGTCGATTCGGAATCGTATTTTCATCACGTAAATTGTCGTGTCGTCTGTCTAGTGTCTACACTCTACAGTACAGTTCCACCATTGCTTACTACAAGAACACGAACGCACAACGCGAACGCCTAGACAAATACTTATTGAGGTCAAGGTTATGTCGATACCGGCAATGGCGTCAATAGTTGCGCATTGAACTACAGCTACAGCTACAAGGCAACTGAAGGTATCACCTCAAACAATAGAAATCTCTGTGGTATCACTGAATGTGAGAATTGAGATACGTTGGGCGCCATATGCACTAAGGGAATAGTACAAGTACTTTGGATTTCATAACCAGGGGATTGAGGGATTGCCAATAGTCAATGAGCTGGTTGATTCTTCTAGTGGTACCAACATACATCATTTTACAGCGTCTCGATTTCTAGCAGAGTTGCTGTACCAGTGCTACCTCCATTTGGGTGTTTTCCGTCTACGATTATTTCGTTTCGTAAAAGCAGGAGCGGTTCCCTGATTCCATTTACTTATAGGACTTGGATACGATAAATTTTAACTGAGATTGCATGATAATTTTGAGCTGACATGAACTACGTCGGTTGTTTGATTCAGAATGCAAACATGGATGATACGAAAAAAAAACATTGACCATGGCAACTTCCATAAAAAAAATATAAGTTTTTACATGGAATCGGTATCAAGAATCGTGAGCAACATTTTAGAACTGGTATAGAATTTACAAATTATGTTATTGGCCTATCCCTATTCAAAATATAAATAGTATTCCACTAGGACGTAATTTAAGCCATGACCTTGAGATGAGTTTGGCTTTGTTCCAGCAATGCGTAGCGACACTGCTGCTACCCTGCTACACGCTTGTTATTATAGAGCTGGCGGCGAGTCGGCGTATTCTGTTGGCGGACCCGAGATTCGATTCTCGAATCTGGTTAATTTCTAATTTGAATCTTTCGTAAATAAAATTTGTTGGATAAATTGGCTCAAAATTGTTAGAACTATAAAATTCCTCGTAAATAAACTAACATAATGATAATAGTTGAAATACACGTAAAACCCCCGAATAATACCATTTTCACGCATATTTCCCGGTATTTTCACAGCGGTTAACTTAAAATTCACGCATAAATACTGCTTTACAATGAATTCCCGGTCGCTGAAAACCGTGTATAAGTTTATTCGCGCGGTATTAAATTCCAAATTCGATCTCAAAGCATATTTCGAGTCGCTGTGATGATCACTTGTTGAAAATAAGCAAATGTAGTTGTTAACATTGTTGTAATTAGCCTATTATTCTTAGCCAATAAACTGGAAACGACAATTAATTAACGAACACGTTAGAATCCTGAACGATCTCATTGTAGGCTTTAGCCTATCTGGAAAAATTTTTAGGTGTGACTAATTTCAGGTGAAGGGACTACTACGCATTATTTCACGAAATCCTGATATTAAAATTTGATTTTGTCTCCCGAACCTAAATTTCGTCACAACACATAGACCCAGGTGTAGGCTATTACGGATACGGGTAAGTCCTGGAATTTGTTTATTCATGGTACATTTTACCCCCATTTAAATTTAGTAAGTCAAGCCAGTCATACTCTATAAATTTTATAATGTTCGTTTCATTCTGCAAACCAAAAACGAACGAATAGTGTATTTATTTCAATAAGGTTTGAAAGTACCATAGGCCTACCTGTTAGAATCGTCAGCCATATCTTCATTCCCAGGTGCACCATCGGGGGGGAGGGGAGGTTCATTGTCCTGTGAAGGTTCAGAAGCCATCGAGTCAGTCGAAGCTTCTACAACTCTTCTTGGTGAATCCGGGGGGTCGTCTGGCATTGGAATGTCGGGAGGTTCTATCCCTGTTGGAGGAGGTTCCTCACCAGGAAGAGGAATATCCATGTCCATTGCTCCTGTAAACCAAACCAAATTGAAGAATACAAAGATTACAAAATTGATTCCATGCCTTTTAAAAATAAATTTTAAAGCACATTTTCATGTTTTACTGTTTCATGTTTTTCATGTCAACTGATCCGTACTATCTGTGTGGAGTCTATCAGTTTGGTCCGCAGCCTATTAAGTCTCAAGCTCGTGAATTTTTTAAGCCGCTGCGTAAATACCCGTCATTTCCTGATCCTGGGCTCGGACTACAATAAACCCGAGCTTGTGAACTGCCTCCAAATGCCTTTATACTGTCTCTTTGCTTTAACTTTCTTAGATTTCTTCTTCTTTTCTAGACAATCCTTTCAATCCTTAGTGTATACTTTGTTTACACTATAACGGCATAGGGGAGAGTGGGGCACATTTGAACGGTTTAAATTTGCCGTCATTTTTATACTCGCAGGCAATTAGACCAGCTGTAAAATGTAGCCCTCAAGTAGCACAACAGGTTGCATTCATCTCCCTCCATTTCTGATCAGTTCTTAGTTTGTTGTTGGGAAAAGAAGTTTCAGAGCGCCACAAGAAAACTTTTTTAGCAGTAGGGATTTGTACATTTTCCACAGAAAAACTACATCACAGATAAATTTGATCCATTTACTTTATGGCTTATACATATTTAGATACAATTATGCATTTCACATTGATAAATTACAATTCAAGAAAACATAATTTAACTTTTTGTAAGATGGTGCCTAGTGGGGTAGATTTGAACAGGAGTCTGAGGGGTACATTTGAACACCATGTTTTCCTCTGGTAAGCATGTTGTTCAAATGTACCCCCAACTGATTATATTTATTTCCTATACAAGACAGTAATGAATAATAATAATTTAAGACTATAAGCTTCCTCAACCAACAATGAGTGTGAGAACTGCACTTGCAGCGAACGAATATAATTTTGCTATTAACTTTGCAACATTTAGCTACAAATAATGTGAATCTAAAACATTAAATGAAGAATTAGTTCCAATAGAAATAAGAACTGCTTTTATCAACTCACATGCATAAAAATTTCTGTAAAATAAGAATTTTAATTTTACTTAATTAGTGTGTTCAATTGTACCCCACTTCTTGTTTTTGAACGATTTGCATACCTTTGTAAAAACAGATATTGCACACTAACATGTTAACTTGGAGGGTTTAAAAAATAACTAAATTAAAGCTAACATTATGTTACAACTAAATATAATAGGCCTAATAATTTTATTAAAAACACATAAATTCACATATTAAAAAATTAAAGTTTAAAAAGTGTTAAAATGTACCCCACTCTCCCCTACAACAGTAATGGCAACATAGACATTCAGACAAGAATTACACAAAAAATAATAAAATTCAGACAATCGTAGGCCTAGCCTAGTTTATTTAGTTTTGGTTTCCGCAGAGACATTTTTTCACCATTGTTTTCACATAGGCCTACCGGTAGGCCTAAAAATCTAGTTTCTGGTAATAAATAAAATACACATTTGAAAAGCGTGCTGAAACAAGTGAATCTATGAGCTAATGGCATGACGTGCCATCTTCCTTCCCCCACTACCTTTCCAAGAACAATGGCGGTGTTTTGGCCGTCTTAGCGTCAGTTGGCCCTGAGCTACGAAGGTGTAAATGGAACGAGGGTGGATTAATTGAGATTTTGATACTAGGCTATATGATTTTTATTACTAGGTATGAAAGAGTGTTTCCAGTAAAAAGTAAGACGCGGAATGCCAGTCCACGCGCGTGTACTGGAGGGGTCAAGGTGAAAAGAAATCCCTAGGTCTAAGGTAAGGTTCTAAAACCAAAATTTAACCCTCTTAGTGTCAAACATCGATGCATCGATGGTAATGACACGCTCTGGGGAGTCAAGCGTCGATGCATTGATGGTAGTGCAGACGGTTACATATGTCTTTTAACTCAGTCAATTTCAGTCTGATTTGGACTGGATTGATATCACTGTAAACAGCAGAAAACTGGCTTTCTTCTGGTGTCTGTTTCACAACCTTACTATTGTTTGTCTGTCTCCAGATGTTTTGAGACAAAGACAATGTTTTGGTTGCCCTGTTGCGTGTTGTTTTTGTTTACAAGTTGTTTGTTACTATATTTTCTTTATTGCAAACTGTTTTTTATCTGTTTAGACTACATATTTAGATGTACAAAATAATCAGTGATGACTAACTTGTTGGTTTGATGTGTTAGCAGTAATATATTCGAAGGTTATATGTGTAATGGCAGTAAAGTCATTGTAACAGGCCTAGTGAGTGATTTTGCAACTATTCCTAGACCATATTTATGACTCTTGGCTGTCCTAAAAATTAAGTTAACCCTTTAAGTGTCTCTAGTTTTGGTCTTAACCCTCCGAGTGTCACGTGTTTTGGCCTTAATGTCAGCCTATTTTTTGCTCATTTGCAAGGTTTTATTAAGACTGATCTGAGAAGCTTAAAAACAATGTTAATTATACTGTTCTATATACCATTTTGTTTGGAAAATCTTGGGCTTCAATATTATATATAAAACATAAGGAAGATTTAAAAAAAAAAAATTTTTTAGGTAAAAAAATGTATAATTTCGAAAATTTTCAAAAAAAAATGTTTGCGCTCAATGAAATTGTATAAATTATAGGCCTATAAATATTTGAAAATAGCCACTTTGTTCTAAATTTTATGAGGATTACAAATCTATAATAATATAAGGAAGTAGATTTGCAAATAAAAAAGTTATGGGCAAAAAACAGATTTCAGTACATAGCGTTTAGCTAAGAATGCATAGCCCAACCATAGCTAGGAATCTGGCTGATAATTTACATCAATATTACTACCTACTTCTTCAGGATCATCAACCAGCACTTCAAAACCACTTAAATCTTCTTATAATGCACCACGTATATCACTACTTTTGATTTTTAACACTAAAACAATGATAAACGTAATAAAACACATCAGTCATCGGTCCGAGGGTAACCTAGCTGTTTACAAATACACGCACGTCAGCTCAGTCAGCTGTCTGCTACAATATTTTCGGAACTAAAATGAATAGTGCTTAGAGACAGACCTCTGCAGAAAGCTTAGAATATTACGGACAGAACGATACCTAACTCAATCCAGTACAGTCCGATTCAGTTAGTCATAGAGCCTTCGCCGTAAACAGTGTTCGCGAGTCGCTGCAGCGACGCACGACACTATACAAAGTGCGTTACGCGTCGCTGCAGCGACGCATGACACTCGGAGGGCTAATGTTCGCCCATTTATTGCGCAATCGCAGGGTTTTATTAAAATGTATCTTAGAAACTTAAAAACAATGTAAAGTATACTGTTTTATATATCATATTGTTTGGAAAATTATGGGCTTCGATGTAACATATAAAACATTACAAAAAAATGTTCAACAATTTTTGTGGGGTTAACATTTCTCGAAAATTATAAAATAAATGAAAAAAATTTATGTTTGCGCTCAACAAATTGTTATAATTTATTGGTCTACAAATATTTTAAAATAGGTAGCCACTTTGTTCAGAATGTTATGAGGATTCCAAAAATATAATAATATAAGGAAGTAGGTTTGCAAATAAATAAGTTATGGGCAAAAAACAGATTTTGGTACATAGGCCTAATAGCGTTTAGCTAAGAATGCATAGCCTAACCATAGCTAGGAATCTCGCTGATAATTTACATCAATATCACTAGGCCCACCTATTTCTTCAGGATCATCAACCAGCCCTTCAAAATCACTTAAATCTTCTTATAATGCACCACGTATATCACTAGGCCTACTTTTGATTTTTAACACTAAAACAATGATAAACGTAATAAAAAAAATCAGTCATCGGTGCGAGGTTAACCAAGCTATTTACGAATACGCACGTCAGCTGTCTGCTAAAATATTTTCGGAACTAAAATGAAAAGCGTATAGAAACAGACATCAGGAGAAAGCTCTGAATCTGCTGAAAAAAACGATACCTATCTAACTCGATCCAGTTCAATCCGATTCATGCAGTCCTAGAGCCGTCGCCGTAAACAGTGTTTTTGAGTCGCAAAAGCGACACATAACACTACAGCGGATGTGTTATGAGTCGCTTTTACGACACATAACACTCGGAGGGTTAACCATACTAAGGTTCATATTTTCTTTTTCGCTATAATAATTAGAAATAAATGGCTCAGATTTTTCATTTAGTTACAACTAGCCTACTCATAAAAATAGGGGCACGAACATTTTTTTCATATTTTTATTTTGTTTTTTTTTATCCTTCTAAGTCCTTTCTTATGATAAAATAGTTATAAAAACCTAATTATTTGTGCTGAATCATAATGTGCATATATTTAGCTGCACAAAAATATATGACAAGGTATAAGTTAGGCTAACTTATTTTACAAAGTAGATTTGTTACAGTAGGTTAATAACCTACATTTTTTAATAAATATTACTGCAAAATGCCCAAAAATCGTCTGACACCACACAAAAAATGACTGACACCAGGAGGGTTAAGGAACCACTAAGCCAGCTTTTAGGCTATAGGCTAGGCCTAGCCTTCATCATGCGAGGGAAGGGCAGTTGGCATAGACCTAACCAATTCGAAATGACGACAGTTAACAAGTAAGTTACCATAACTTATATGTCTTTCCAAGAAAAAATTACATCTCATCTGCAATTTATGCAACTCAATATACTTAAGTCTACAATGTAGCCTAGGCTAAGAAAATCTTAAAAGCCTGATCCTGAAGTACCTAGATCTAAATTTCAATAGGCTAATGAAAAAAGTTTTAATTTTAATAGCCTGACATTATTGACAAATTTCCTATGATTCAATGAGTCTGTATATGATGTTTTCCTTTAATTTACAAGCAACAATACATCTTGATCAGTGGTAAATTTCATTATCGGTCTAAAGCCTACATTTAAATATCTGGATAGCTATCTGGATAATACTGAGACTTACTTGAACCGGTATACAATACACCTTAAACAATACACTTATATAGATAATTTAGGTCATGCCCTCAGATCTACGATATACTTGGTTTTTGATGTAACGAACTAAGCACAATCACTAAAATATTAACATTATTAATAATCAATTATAGGAACCCGTGTTCTTTACATGACTTCCATTTTCTCCATTATTGCACCAGTGATGCCAATTGCCAAAACAGCAAATCGGAAACATATCAATTGAAAATTTAACACATATGTTTGCCAACAAATCGAAGTAAATTGTTCTATGTTGTCTTTCTGTAATATATACAAATATGTATAATGTAAAAGATAATCTACTTGTGATGTGGAAAGCGAAAGGGGACCTCTTGGTGGCGATACAAAATTTTTAGTACGGCCGATAATGCCGATATTAGTAAGTAAGTTCGAAAATATCGAAATTCGGGGTTTTATCGATTGATAAACCTCATTGAACATAGGTCAGTATCGGTTAAAATATCGAATTAAGGGGGCCGTGCCTCTGCACGTCCTGAGAAAAGGGACTTATTGTCGCTCAATATTATTTTGCCATAACGACAAGAGGACCCATTTCTAATATTCACTTTATAAACAGACTTTAGTCCAAAAAATGAATTGTCCTGCATTCCCAGACAGCACAAGGATACTTTATAAATATTTTTAAAATACAGGGCGTTTATAAAAGAATCATCAGGTTTTAAAAAGTTTTATTGACGTTAATGTTAAACAAATACGGATATAAAATATATCGACAGAAAGAAGAACTCTTAAATTTTTCATAAATACCCCTACATAGGGGTTATTTAAGTAACTTAAGAACCACACTTTTTTTTATGTGGTTCAATGTGCCGTCCATTGCCGTATGCCGTGGAGCAAGTTTCCAATCTATGCTGTAAATTGTCCCATACACCGGCTAGCACCGCAAGGTTGGTTGTTTCTACGGCATTGCGAATTCGTCCACGGAGCCCATGAAGCGTTTGAGGCATTGGCGGTTCATGAACTTTGTCTTTTACATAGCTCCATAGAAAAAACCACACACCGTAAGATCAGGAGATCTAGGGGGCCATTTGAGAAGGGTCAAGTCATTATTGTCGAAATGTTTTTCTTGAATCGTAATAATTTTGAAAATGATGCACACACGTCCAAGAAAAAACCAAGACTGATTATTGAATAGCTTATTATAAAAAATATTAATGTGGGACAAGAATTGAGTGAGGTACTTGCCATCAAAATCTGATTATTCTTTTATAACCGCCCTGTATATCCATCTAAAAAATATTTTATTATTATTTTTAAAATATATTTTTTGGTAATTTTTGAATAATATGTTAACATTATAGTTTAAAAAATTTAAAATAAGTTTTTAATGGTCTTAAAAATATATTAAGTCATACTTTTTATTTTTCGGTTGAATGTATTTACACAATATTTTTAACATAGGTATTAAGACAAAATAATTTAGTTTTTTATGTATAAGATATTTTTTTAATATTTTATTTACTAAAATAGCTTTAAAGAATATTATTTATAGAATTCTAATTGTTAAAATATTTTTAAACATTTTTTAACGCCTTTAGGATAAATGTTCAAAAATGGTTATTCCTAAATATTTAGATGTGTTTTTCTTTTATTAGATGCGTATCCCCCATTTTTTTAAGTGGCGAATAGTCCGGTTCTTTCCTATTGTAAAACTGAATTAGACTGGTTTTTGAACTGTTTAGTGCCATTTTGTTATTTGTGCTCCAGTTTACCATCTTTATTAATTCCTTCCTGAGTTTTCTTAACTGTCCTACGATCTTTTCCATATATGTAAGGTATAGGTGTCCCACATCATCTGCAAACATCAATAGCTCATCACCATCTTGGACCTGGCAAATCATTAATGGAAAGAAGAAACAACGCTGGATCGAGGTTTGACTCTTGCGGGACTCATGTGTTGATACAGTCCAAGACATTTGATATAAACGTCTTTATAACATTCGTCTCACCAGTATTTCTAAAATTCACAATTTGGTATTTGTTTTTAAAGAAAATTTAAGGGATTTTCCTAATCCCCTAATTTTCCTAATATTGATGAGCTTAGTTAGCTATAAGTTTATATTAGGTGAGTAAACCAGCATTTAAGTGAACAAACATATATATCCTTTTTAGTCTACATACAACATAGTATACAGGGTTAGGCAAAAGTCTGGAACCCTCCAGTTAACTTTTTAAAGCGTTGCAGTAGGAAAACTAAACTCGGCACATATTTACAACATAAGAAATTGCACTTTTTCATCAAAGTTCCAATTTTTCCCAGCCCCCAAAATGGGATATTTTTGGGACAGCCCCAAATTTTCAAATGTAAACACCTATCATGTGACCCCTCATTTTAAAGGGTTTATCAAATGAAAATGAATGACGCAAACCAGAGGTCAATATCGCAAGCCTAATCAAAATTACAGCCATTTTAATTATTTAAGATGAGCAGGCAAGATAAAGTCTGGATACCCCCAGTTAACTTTAAAAATTTAATATTTTAATACTGACCAAAAGGTGAATTCTCTTTTTTCATAAAGGTATGCTGAGTTTAATTTTCCTGCTGTAACCTGTTAAAAAGTTAATAGGGGATATTTCAAAATGACTGCCATTTTGATTAGGGGTGCGATATTGACCTCTAGTTTGCGCCATTTAATTTGTCTTGAGAAACCCTTTAAAATGAGGGGTCACATGATAGGTGTTTACATTTGAAAATTTGGGACTGCCCCCAAAATACCCCATTTTGGGGGCTGGGGCAAAGCTGTAACTTTGATAGAAAAAAGTGCAAATTCTTATGTTGTAAATAAGTGCTGAGTTTGGTTTTCCTACTACAACGCGTTAAAAAGTTAACTGGGGGGTTCCAGACTCTTGCCGAACCCTGTATAAGAATTTGGACGAATTGTGTTTTTGGTCTCTTCGGACATCAAAATAAAAAATAAACTTATTGGTCCCGGGCCTAGGTTTTACCTGCCACCTACGATTATACCATACGTAAATTATAATGTCTCAATACTACTAACCACTTTACCGTGTAAATTTATTATTTATAATTGTTAAATTATTAGCTGTCACTTGTGTGTTCTGGCGTTTGGCCGTTGGAAGAATAAATAAATAAACCATAATAGTTCTCGGCTACTTTTAAAGGCGGCCGTGGTTAGTTCCTGAAAAGCAATAGAATGCAACATTGTCACGATTTTTAAGACTTGTACACTATGAGCTAATGTTTTACAGTAATATTATAAGCTGTGACACTCTCATTACGATTAAGGTGCAGTTGGTGTCACTGATCAAACTTCTGCTCTGCATTAAAACATATGGTAAATGTGCTCTGTTTGTATCCAATCGAATTCATCCTTTACAGTACTACCGTTACGGACAGTAGTGTTTCCATTCTCTGGATTATTATCCCGAAAACGGGAGTTTTAGACCTCGAGCGGGATTAAAACGGGATGCGGGATAGAACGGGATTTTCAGCTATGACGTATATTTTAATTTTTTTCTATTTAATTTGAAGGAAAAACGAACTCTAATTGATTAAACTACCGTAGCAAGAGATAATAGCAATGTTTAAACAACTATTTAAACACGGTACCCTACGTCAAATATAACTCTCGGGATTGAACAAACAAAAACATGCGGGATAAAACGGGATTTTCCATCATTCAAAAGCGGGATTAAACGGGATCTCTCGACCCTGCAAGCGGGATAATTTTTTGCACACGTCAAGTATTCTACAAAAAGAAAGACGACAGAGAACAGACTACAGACAGACGTCAGACGTCAGACGTGTTTTTTTTTCATTACAAATTGTAATGGTTGTCGAGGAACGACTGCGACCTTCTTGACGTTTTTATTTCAGAATCCAGGTAAACATGCTTACATTTTCAATTTTATTAGTTTAGATTGCAGTTCCTGATATCCTTTATTTTAATCAACATCGGTGTCCTGAGCATAATTGAGTATGTAGGCTAGCTCAAACTTATTTCTATTAAATATTTTGGAATAAAAAAAAACCTTTGTAATAGTGCAAACAGTGACTGATTTATGGTAACCTTGATTTTATTTGATTTTAATATGCTGGGACGACCTTTACTTGATATATTCGAAATGTCTAAACATCTTACCCAATAGAATAAAATAACCTAGCCCAGGCGTATGTACATACGATCTCCCACATTTTATTGACTAGACCTACTAAAAACTTGTTTTTAATCACAGGACACAGAAACCTACTCTTTGGGTTCCAAGGCCTACCTTACTCAGTCACTAGGCTATGTTACAATAAGTTCTGCCTATGTTATTAAGCTATTGTCATTCTCCTAGTTTAAATAATCAAGGTTACATAGCCTACCTTCAGTCCAAGCGATTCCTGTTTCACTACAATGACTAGCCTAACTTATGTAGGCTATGCCTAAGTTAAGTTATATATTTTGCATTGCAATTCCATCATCAGATGGGTTACAACTATCAACTATGCAGCAATTCCAACTGCTACAGGTATCTTTAGAGAGTGTTCATCGATGGTGCTCAACGAATGGGATGTACATAAATCAAGCTAAAACCAAAGTGATAACTTATAGCCGGATCAGCAACGTCATTGAATACGACTATGTCTTGGTTGGGAACCGGCTGGAGAGATGCAGTCGCATGAAGGATCTTGGGGTCACGATTGATTCCTCCTTTGAGTTTGGACAGTACATTGGTGACATATGTGCCAGGGCCTACCTTACCCTTGACCTGGTTATTCGGACAGTAAATCACGGGCTGGATTCCGTAGCAGCTACCATCTTATACAAGTCCCTTGTCCGTCAGCATACTTGAGTATGCTTTGGGTGTATGGTCTCCATACCAACTCGGCCTTACAGACCAGCTAGAGTCAGTCCAAAGACGATTCATCAGGTTCCTGGGACGCTGAGATGCGTTCAACTACTTAGAAGTCCCCATTGATGTCATCTCAGAATCCTACGGGCTGCAGCCATTATCATGTAGAAGACGCGTAGCAGATGTGTCCTTCCTCTACAAGCTCCTCAACAGCAAGGTAGGTTCCCTTACCTTCTGGAGAAGATGAATTTCAGAGTGCCCACCATCAGGACTAGGGAGCAGCGTTTATTTGAGCTGGAGCATGCAGGAAGAAGTTACCTCCAGAACAGCCCTATTCCAAGGCTCATGCGTTCCGGCAACTACGTCTCGGCTTCAGTGGACCTCATTCATGACAGCCTAGCAGCCATCAGGCATTCTGCGGCCGCATCTTTTTGGGAGGCTTCACTTTCCAAGGGTCACCTTGGAATTGGGAAAGAAAAGTTTCTCATATTTCGGACCCACATAGTACAACAGACTGCCCGAGAGCCTAAAAACCGTTGCATCCAACAATACCTTTGAGATTAAGTTTAAAAAGTTTTTAAAAGATATAAATGTTTAGTTGTAAGTGCAGTAGGTTAATGACAAAAGTTGTTCTGAAAAACAACTGATATGTATCAGAGAAACGCTGGCTAATAAAGACGTTTTTATTTATTTATTTATTTATTTATCCTGGTCCCCTGTCAGTGAAACCTAGTGTGCCCCATTGTTAATCGTCATTTGCTATCTTTCTCGTTTTCTGTTAATTTCATTATGTTTCAGTTATGTTGATCGTTTGTTTAATACTGTTTTGTTGGGTCAAATATTTACTGTTGTTATTGCTTTTCCATATTCTATTTCGACTTCATTGTTATATTAGGGCTTTCCTAGTCAAGATTTACCTTGCGTTTGCTAATCGATTGTTAATAACTGTATTGCCGGACCAAATTCTTACGTTTGTTATTGCTTTTTCATAATTTATCTTGTATGTCATTGTTAAATTGTTGCTAGATTTTGTATTGTGAGAAGATTTTATGTTTTCATAGTATGTTTTATTGATGTTTTAGGGAATTCAAGTAAAATATTGTAATGTTATTTGTGTAAAATATAAAAAAGAAAATGACTTGCGTTATGATTTTATGGTTTTTATTATGTCTCATCAGTATTTATTTTTCTAAGATGCCTCGAAGAGATCAGGCACGCAATGAAAGTAATAGGGCTCGCAATGTAAATAATAGGGATATGATGAGACATAATCGTTTTCACCTTATCAACTATAGATCAAATATATAACGGATCTTGAAGTCACGAAGTGACGCAAGTTGCTAGTAAATAAATAAATAAATCGAGTAGGTACTCAAAAGAGTCCAGTTCCACAGAGATCCTGCGATATATTATTGGATCAAATATTGATATTATAGATTTTAATTCGGTTTGATGTATAAACTATTAGGCTATTGAACTTCTAAACTATTAAGCCTGACTTAAGTTATTTTTTTCCCCTATGTAAACATTGAATTAAGTTAGGCCTACATTTTTATTGATGATTAATAAATGTACCTAAACACTGAATTGAGTACGGTAGGCCTATTAGTAGGCCTAGTTGATCTATTTACATTTCATCTTATATTTATTAAATGAAACTATCAAAATTCAACCAACACAAAATATATTTTACCAAAGTTAACAAAATAAACAATAAATTAATAAGTTATTACTTATTAGCCTATAGTTAATTTAATAATAAATAGGGGTATTAACATATTGGCCTAAGTTAGTTTCTTCAACTTGTAGTCGTTTACAAATTTGGGATAAAACTAAAATAAGGATGAAATAAAAAAAATAACTAATCATTTTTATTTATATGGTAAAGTTAAATTTGATGCGATACTTCGATAATAACAGGATTTAATCCGATAACATATCGGAGGTTCTCTGCGAAACTGTAGCCCTTCATAAACACATAACATTGTCTTTGCAGACTCGTCACTTGGGTGTAGCCTACCCAACATATACATAAATAACAGCTCCATTATCGTGAATAGGCAGTTTTCGTGAACCTTTTTATCAACTTTAGGGATCCATTCAGTCACAAGGCTCGGGTGTCTGCTCTTCGCTTCGTCATGACTTATGAATGTCAGTTCGGCAATTTTTTAACTGAATGTACCATTTTCGCACAGAACTTCCATTCATTACATAGTTTCCGTAAACTTCAAACAGTTGGCAATAAATGTCTATCGGTTTTAAGTATTTTGTCAACAAAATACTCCCTGAAACTGTACGCAGCTTGCCTATTAAGTCACTGAAAAATGTATTGACCGATTTTTTGAACAGAAAAGTTATCTACCCTATCGAAGAATTTTTATCTTTCAAACATGATGATTTTCTGTAAAATTCTAATTGTTAAGTAGGATATTGTTTCTAAAGTATGTAACAAAGGTTTCATGAACTGTGATATACAGTAATAGTCTTTCAGAATAATGTTATTACTGTTAACTTTATTTAAAAATGTATTGTCATTTAGTTTTAAGCTGTATCTCACTGCCAATTTTAGCTAATTATTTTAATATAGGCACTTACCCGACTTGTTTACTTGACTATAAACAGTATTATTGCCATCATTATCAATACATCTCAAAAACTTTTGTATAAAATCAGTATTATTAGTTTATTAGTACCTATAGCATGTTCATCTATTTACACCTGACTCTGTACATTGTACTTTGAATTGTATATTATCTCCATTGACCTGGCCTATTGTATGAAATGTATACTTAATAGCAAAAAACTATTTGAATTTGAAAAACCGTATAATTGACCGCACCTCACAACTAGCAGGATTTTCAATCTCAGCGCACATCTTAAGTTGAAATTATGAAAAAAACAGGCAGCACGAGGATTTTTCTGTTGTCACAGCTATCATCTGGGTTGTGAATAATTGATAATTATTGATTGTTGTTGCCCTAAGTACTTTAATAACTTGGTTAGGTACCTATACATTTAGGCTCGTTTCAAACCTGCAGGTACTAAGAATAGATTTACTGTCGCTTAGCACTGTTAGAATGTAACGGGAACAACAATATATTGCTACATAGCACTCTTCGGGAAAAAGACGCTCAACGATATATCTTCGCATCGTACTGAAAGGGTTAAGGAAGTGAGATGATCAACAAAGGTTTTAAGTACTGGAGGACTAACTTATTGCTCACACGCAGCCATCTTCTGGATTAGCATTGTAAAAACAAGTAAATTTGTATTCTATCGGAAATAAAAATTGTGTAGCCTATCCATTTATTAATAAGTGAAGGAATTTATGTGTGGATCCACAGAGATGTAAAATACAGAGGATACAAGCTTATGGGACAACCGTTCCTTTTTAGCTCTGTTATGTTGGGGCGGAAATGTACTTGTACTGAGTAAGGAAGAGCCTGAACAATGATGGCCACCTAGTATTTTTATACAGCAGTTGTAGTGCACAGGGTCTTCCCTACAGCATAAGCGCTGTAGTACGTGATGGCGAGGGGGGAAAAGAGAATGGAAGAGGACGACGAATAGAATTTGCTTTAGACACCAGTTATAGACACCACTAAGTGTACCAGTGAGTTTATCCTCTGTGTCTTACTTCTCTGTGGTGGTTCAGATGATTGTACTGGCATACTTACCCTTCATATGTGGTAATGACATTTCAGTGTTATCTAATGCTTCTTACTTAAAAGATTGGTGGAAAAGCTGCAGTGCAATGGAAACTCGTAGTTTCATCACTCCTGGATCAGAATCAGAATCAGAATACTTTATTCTTGAACATAGAGTACAGAATAGGCGTCAAACATTACAGAGATTTAATTATTTAAAATAGCATAAAGTTGTTGGGCTTTGAGGCGCTGTCGGTAGTGATGGTTATTACCATGAGTGTTGTTTAATCCTCACTGGAACATCGGTGAAGTTCTCCAGTTCATGAACTCCAAACATATCATGGATTCCAAACATATCTTTTTAAAGTTTTCCCCTAATTTAAAATACAATAGCTGGAAGTAATTTAGGTCTGGATTCATAATTTCAGTTTAGTTTTAATCCTTATTGATAAACAATGTTCATATACATCATTCTGTTGAAATATGTAAGTAATAGGCCTAGTAAAGAGAATTCCAATTTCTTTGCTATGTTAAACAGTGCTATTTTGTTTCAGAAAATTCAACAACAAAAATGCCGGTCATTGAAGGAATTGGAGATGAGGTGGTGCAGTTTTTCTCAGTTGTATTAGTCGTTGTGGTAGCAGTCGCAGCATGGTGGTCTACAAGCATCAGGGAGAGCCATCATAACATAAGAACAGTTCTAATATTGGAACGTAGGTCTAGAAACAGAACTGGAGGAGAGACAACTCAACCACCAGCCGTTGTAACGGATACAGATAACGCCATAGATACCGGCCAACCAGACAGTTCTAATGGTGGAGAAACTGAGCTTCTAACTGATGACTCACAGGAGAAAGATGACAATGAAGCTTCTAACACATCATTAGTTGAAGAGGAGGCTGCTGGTGAATGTGCCACTAATGAAGCCACACCAGAGGTAGAAGGGGCTGCAGCTCAAAACCAAGTGACCCAGGAAAGTGGCACTGGGCAGAATATTATTGTAAGGAAACGTCTGGTCCCCCTTCTTAAAACAAAATCAGCAACAATCCTGAGGGAACCACAAGAAAGAGTGGCGGATGAGAATCATCAAACAAGGGAAGGAGATCAGATTAGAATCAGGCTAAAATACTTGAATGATGATCAAAAGCTGGTCGAAGGCAGGTTGCAGGAACAGCTTGGAGAGTTCAAAAGGTAAGCTTAACTGGCAGGATCTAAACTTGTCTGTTTCATATTCATATTGTATCTATTTTGAGTGTAAGTTGACAGGAGCAACCGTCATGAAGTTTGTATTAGCTACTATGTAGAAGGCTGGCCTGAACTATGCACTTCCAACCTGAGACTACCCAAAAATTCTGTTTCAAATGACACAGGGTTAAAGACATTTAATTGAATTTTCAATTGCCAGTAAATACTGTTTATGAGATATTTCTGATTTTATAGACGGCATTTCAACATCGAGCTGTCAACTGATAAACTTGTACGGTTGATATTCAATGGCCAAGTGCTAGGAAGCGATCAGCAGACTCTCCAGGCGTGTGGACTCTATGACAACTGTGTCGTACACTGCTTGGTTCACAACCAAAGGACACCCCCGCGCACATCAGCTGCGCACCACTCTACCCCTGCCACTCCTAATCCTCCTGACTGGAACCTCACAACCCTTCTCTACACATGTGTTAGTGTGGTAAGTTAACATCTACTCCTGTTAGAGTCATTTTCAAAACGCTATAGTAACCAATAATTACTTCTTGCCAGGATAGCGGGCTAACCTGAAGTTACCTGGTGTATGAAACATAAAACCTTATGTTATAGTTTCGTGAAAACTAAAATGTTTCACTCTGACTGCATTTTCAACCAATGATGCGTTGAATTGGGATGAAAGAAAAATAATTAATATCCTTCAAAAACTAGGACATTCCGACCCTTGTGTCCTATGTTAGATCCTTAACCTCAAATGTATAAATGTCAAAAATAATAAAATCTGACAAAGAAACATATGAATTTTAATTTAATGCACTGTATGGAAACAATTTTGCACATCAGTTTTACATTGAATATAGTGATTTTAGGATCTTGCATCATTATAGTATTGAAAATTAGAGATGTGTCGATACCAAAATTGATCAATTCTGTAAAGAAAAAAAAGAGAGATTCCTTGACTTATATATTTAAATATATACTACTCTCCTTGCAATACTCTCAAATGATTTTCAAATGATTGATTCTTTACAAATCTTGGTTGCCCCTGGGTTGGAAGAACAAAGTGAATAAAAATAAACAACATAGCGTTGGCAGTGGAAGCTTGATGTTAAATAAAAATTGAGTGGGCCCTGTAGAATAAAATTATTAAGTCCTTATGGGACGTCCCTGGTAATGTTTATAGTTCTTCCAGTGCTGAAAACAATCTTAAATCTACACTGACTCTACTTTGCACACTACCACACTAATTTTAGTGTTGCACTTCAAAGGTGTATCTTTTGTAGCGGCTTCTTACTTGCTATAATTACCTAAACTCTATTGAATGAATTTGTATTGTACCAGAAATGAAATACCAAGGTTATTAAGAATTTGATAAATATATAACAATTTGATTTATTAAACAATAACTATCTAAAGATCAACATAGCAACAATTTGATTATAATTTAATCCCTATGCTGAATATGACTCGAACAGTACATTTACTCAATGCTTGAGTACAATTGCCATTGATACTTTTGTGAAAAAATATGAATCCCTTCAGGATCTCCCTTGGTAGGAGAAGTGATTGACGCAGTAACAATTCAGTCGTGACAATGACGGTGAGGTGTGAAATTAATTTATTGAGACGACCCAACACTCAATAATCCTTCTCGTTGGCCAACGAAGGAATTGAAGATGGTGTCTCGTAGTCCAACTTGTTAGTGTAGAAACATACAGACAGCGTAGCGTAGCGCAACGTAGCGCAGCGCAGCGTAGCGTATAGGAGCGCAGCGTAGTCCAATACACACAGAGAGCGCAGCGTAGCGTAGCGCAACATAGGTTGTAGACGGTCTTAATAGTGTACCCGGTACATCAGTATAGAAGATGGCTCTGTCGAAGACGGCTCGTATCAGTTTTGTCGAAAATACCTTAAGGTGGCAGTTTTTGATCAGTAGGAGAAGTGTCGGGGTGCATGAAGTGGGGTAGCGGATTTTTATCCCCCTGGAATTTTAGCCCCTGGGCAAACGTGACGTCACAAACCAGGGGGTAAAATTCCGGCCGCGAACATTTTGAGTTTCGCGACATCAGCTCGATGGATTAAACGCGGAATTAAACATATATTTTCACGGTTGTGAATTTAATCAGAACACATCAAATTATAAAAAACTAGAGTGTACGGCCCTTTTTACCCCCCGGAATTTTACCCCCGGAATTTTACCCCCCGGAATTTTACCCCCTGGCTAGATATAAAAATTAGTGAGAATGATTAATTATCTTCATTCTGTTTTAATTTAATAGTAAACATTTTATTATTAAGTAGCCTATCTTAATTTATTTGTGACATTAACTAATCGAACATGTTTTTAATTTTAATTTTGAGATTCAAGTATTAGGATTCGATCTTTGAAGCCTAATTTTGGTTAATATGACGTATATACAATCAACTGAATGAGATTACAAAATAAATAAATAAAGACAGGGCACTAAATAATGAAATGTTTACAATTAATTAAAAACAGAAATAATAAAACCAATCATTCAATTTATAAAATCGGCCAGGGGGTAAAATTCCGGGGGGTAAAAATCCGGGGGTAAAATTCCGGGGGGTAAAATTCCGGAGGGTAAAAATCCGGCCCGTACATTTCAGTTGTCTAAACACTAGTTATATGGACAGGGGGTAAAATTCCGGTTTTTATGGCTAATTGAATTAATCACGCTCTGACTATTTTCATTAGACTTCGAAATCCGCGGGGGTAAAATTCCGGCCGCGAACAAACTTTTGGCCCCTCAGGTTACTACGTCATAGTGACGTCAGCTTTGCCCAGGGGGTAAAATTCCAGGGGGATAAAATTCCGGCGACCCCATGAAGTGTGTAAAGGCAGGAACAGGCATGGTGAATACATCTTATTTCCAATCCTTAAAAAACACGAGTCTCGGTTTAAGAATTATGCAAGAATGTCGACTACAACGTTCGATCACATATTTAGTTTGGTGATTGAGAGACGCTTACAACTAATTGAAGGGGACCAATTGGTGCAGAAAAGAGACTAGAATTGACTCTTAAGCGTGTCTGCAGTCGAATGCGCTCCAATACGCTCTGAGAAAAACAAAATAGTTTGTTCCTCGGTCGTACGCTGCGCTGCGCTGCGCTATGCTACGCCGAAATACGCTACTAGTATGTCATACCTCATTTCAATGCACGGTTTTGATTTAAAACATGCGCTGCGCTGCGCTACGCTACGCTGTCTGTATGTTTTTACACTTACACAGTATCACTGTTTCTAACTCAGTAAAATGTATGAAAGATTGTTTATTATTTATTGCTACAGAGTGTTATGGCGGGTTCGTCTTTTATGCAACACACACGCCTTCACCATCCATGGTCGCAACTATCTTCGAACCTGCAGTCCACCTCAACTTCCAATTACTTTATTTCCCAATTTAATCACCAATGGCTATTACACTCTCATTAACTATTGAAGTGAATGGCGCAAGATTATGAAAACAATGAGTCTACGAATGATAATATAACAACAAAATTCTTTGCAAGTTACGTTATTTTTTCTACAAAAACCTGTTAATTTATTTAAACCTAAAAGAATAATAGTATCACAGTCTACAATTTAATACTGATTGAATGGATAAAAATGGATACAAAACACACTTACAAAAGATTTAAACCTGGAGACATGTGCTTATGAAACAGGAAATGACAAAGTATACCATTGAAAAATTATGGCATGTACGACCCACTGGAATGATATAACTATAACCATAAATGACATATATTACTTACAGTTTGGACGTCCAACACAGAACACACAGGGGAGGGAAGAAATACGGAATTAGGTGAGCTTTATACAAAAAAAAAAAAAAAAAAAAAAAATGCGAATGAATTGATTTGATCGACGAAGACGTGAAATTTTCAAAGGCGGTTTGTGTTAGTTGGTAAACAAGTTTTGCGACTTTTTTCCTTTTCAAACTGAATTTACTTTCACTCGTGCGGCAATTATATCCCTGCGGGATATAGGCTTTACGATTTGATGAAAATAGAATTTATCCAACTAACACCGCGAACTGAATTGATTTGCACAACTCGATTTAAAAGCTCACCTATTGGTCTGGAAGGTAAGGAGAAACACACTGAGACAGAGACAGCTCTGGCTGGAGGCTTATTCCCACCACTTGTAGGGCATAGTAGATTGTGGGTACGTCGTCTATTGTCTAAATCAGCTGAATAGATCGTGTTCATATTTGGTGTTTATTACATCAAATTCAGTACAATTCTCAATACCGATAACCTGAAAAATTGATTTTCAATTCTTGATACAGATACCATTAATGGCATGATAACCTGACTTGCAAGTAGATGATTCATTTTTTCTCACTAGTTATCTCCTCAACACTTGTTAGACTACAAAAAAAGTTATAAAATTCAGCTGATAATGCATATACAGGGTGTCCCGGAACTCTCTACCAATATTCTAGGGCATTGCTCCTGGGTAAGAAACATACCTAAATATCATATTTAAATTGTCTGGAAGTCCTTAGTAACTCACACAGCCGCCATTTTGTTTTTTTCAGTTATTAATTTTTTCTAAAGAATGGTTAAACATACGAAAAGGAAACTTTGCACAACCATTTATGACAACTAGACAAAGCTACAAAAAAATTATGACAATTTTTCAAATTCACAAAACAAAATGGCAGTGATTTAAAATGTTTATAAAATAAACTAGTTAATTAAGAAACAAAATTTTAAATGGCCGCCATTTTGTTATATGAATTTGAAAAATCGTCATATTTTTTTTGTAGCTTTGTCTTGTTGTCATAAATGTTTGTGCAAAGTTTCTATTTCGTATATTAAACCAGTCTTTAGAAAAAAATTAATAACTGAAAAAAACAAAATGGCGGCTGTGTGAGTAACTAAGGACTTCCGGACAATTTAAATATGATATTTAGGTATGTTTCTTACACAGGAGCAATGCCCTAAAATATTGGTAGAGAGTTCCGGGACACCCTGTATAAGTAAGGAACTCTGAAACCAATATCCTAAAATACTTTTATTCTATAACTCTTTCATTAAAAACTATTCATGGGAGAAGGCCTTTTCCAACTCATAGAGTTTGCCTCCCGTAAAAAATTATCTGCAGTCGCTCATAGGCTGCTATAGATTATGGCTGTAGGTTATGCCTCGTATGTCCACAACAAAATTAAGCTGTTTATGCTTACTGATTTTATTCTCATAAAAACATGTCCAAGGTATCGGATCTCAATTTTTGCTTGATTTTACAGATACCTTTCCCACAATGTATAGAAAATTTGTTCACTTAAGAACATGGTATCCTCCAAAACTGACTAATAAAATTCCTACATTTTCCTGCTGATTTCAAAAATTCCCTCTGGGTATTTCCCACCGCTTAAATTATTAAAGCTGTAGGCTATTAACTTTGTAAAACACAAATACAGCTACCAGTACTGTATTGAAAATACCTTGAGACTAGCAACAAATCTATAATGGATTTGCTGAAAAAAAAACCGGGAAAATGTGTGAATTTTTTCAAGAGTTGTGTGGTAACCTGTATACCTGTTGCTATGTAATGATACAGAGTTTTAATCTACACTGTTATTGAATGGGGATTTTTATTAGTGTCTAAACTAGTTAGCATTATGTTTGTGAAACACCTAATGTTTTTAGGAGTAAAGGGAACGAAAATCCAAAATTTTTTATATCCCAATAATTAATTAACACACCCTAGCAGTGCAAGTATCATTAATTATGGCTGTCAAAGTACAAAACTAAAAGAGTCAAAGCCTCTTATGGATTGACTTGAGGAATTTAATGAAATATTAGATTCACAAAGCTTAAAGATTAAATAAATTCAAGATATCACGACGTAAAAATGACAGGGTTTTAGCTCCTACAAAAGAGCTGTACAACTAATTTTTGCTAATAGGCAATGAATAACTCAATAAGTTACAATAACTTATCAACAACTAATCTCCAACATCACAAGAATTACTCTCCCTGTTTTCCTATTGTAATAATAAATATTTACAAGTTATCTTTTCAAAGTTCTCCTACTACCATTCCTCTCCTATTGTCTGTTATCTGTAGCTTACTTTGTAATCTCACCCAATACCTGCTATTTGCACAAATTTTACTAACTATTGCTATTGCTATTTAGAATAAATGGAATCCAAAACATCTGTTGCATTGTATGCTTTTTGAAATACCAATAGGCCTATGCTCAGCTCTACTCATTTGACGGTTACTGAACCTATCTGTTACAGGTGCTATGCATTGTGTGGTATTGTAGATACCAATATGCTCAGCTCTTCACTCTCACTACCACAGCCGCCCTCATTGGCCTCACTGGGATCTTTACTGTATCAGTCTTTAGTCTTTACCTCCCTGATCAAGATGGGATACCACACTAATTTTGCCAAATCAATAATTAGATGCTAAGTTGCTAAATCTCAGCCCTCTGAAGGACTTAATTTAACTTAAAAAACTTTTGCTATCTTGCTTGTTGTCATTTTTTGTGATAAGGGTCAGCCCCAGTACCAATTTTTAAGTGTAATTTAGCAGTTTCTACAATTAATACAAAAATGTCTTCTACAAAATGTTGTTGTTGATCACATGGGATAATTCATTGGGAAGTTTGTTGTAAGCAACAACTCACAAATCAATAATATGACTTTAGGACTCTAGAACATATGTAAAATATTTATGTCACAATATATTTAAATACATTTGAACTATATTATTTTAAAACAATCATTGTTCTAAACATAAACCTTATACATGTAAATGAATTATGACACTTTTTGATCATGGAAGATTATTAAATAATATTTTAGCATATAATTTTGTAAAGTAAACTAACATCAATAAATTATTGATGCCTTTCGCTATACTGCAAGTACAGGTATATAAGAGACGTAGGAATTGGCTAACTCAGGAACTCGCTAACTCGGTCGTGTGTCGGAACTGGCTAACTCTGGAACTGGCTAACCGTCTCAGTCAGGAATTGGCTAACTCCGGAACCCGCTAACTCGATTTTGTCTCGCGGCGGAATTCGCTAACTCTGGAAGTCGCTAACCTGGCCGCGCCCACTGCACAGAGCGTTGCCAACCTTGTACGACAAAATAATCGTACACTGCCGTATTTCAAAATGTCAGTGTCAATGAAGATACAGTAAATGTTATTGCTTTTTGTTATCAATTCCACTTTTAACAGATAACTAGCCCAAAGTAATTCAAAGACAATTAAAAAATAATGAAAAAGTGTTTTTTAACTGTACAATTGCCAGTTTGATGTTTATGATTTAGATCTTAAATATAAATGCCATCAGTATAAAAGAAAATTATAGAATATGAAAAATATTTAAAATTCATTTTAATTTTTACAAAATAATTTAACCTCTACGAAATTAAGCTAAAATACACGCAAAATCTCAAACACGGAAACAAATTTAATCGTAATGTCGTAATAAACCAAAACCATTAATTAATACAGTCATCAACCATCGTAACTTTCATAACTAATTCATAGATTTAAAATTAAATGTTCGTCGTTGAACCGTCCAGCTTACGTGTACAAATATCTTAGAGACTAATTTTTTATCTAGGCCTAATAGTTTAAACCAAAGCATTCTAGGCCTACTAGTAAATAGTTGCCTAATTCTAAAATGTGTTGATTTTTTTAGCAATAATGTTACATGTTTTGAAACAGTTTTTAGATTGTAACACACCACTGGTAGCACCACTACTAGCACCACTAGTAAATAATAGGAGAAGATATAATATTCCTATAATAAAACGAGGCAGGGATATTTTAATTCACGATTCTTAATAAACGGATTGACGGATTTTCCTGATTTGAGTGTTGGGTTTCCTTTATATTGCTTTCACTATCGATATAAACTATACCAAGCCATTTCTCGGTTCACCGTTCCCCGGTACTGAGCTACACAATAGACAATAGCTTTGTTTTTTGATAAGATCAAGTAATTTTAGCTATGGCCACCATTCATAAGAATTGTAACAAACAAGAACGCCTGGGTCCATTTATAACCAGCCTGGAGAAAAAGTCCAGACTTTTAAAAAGTAGGCCTACTGAAAGACGTAAAATTAATATTAATTCAACAAAATTAAGAGGATGACCCGGGTTCTACACTAATAGCCTACGATAAAAGAAATTTACAAGTTGTATTTATGCATGGACTAATTTTTTATGCAATCCATTAATACTTTAGGCCTACCACTTTATAATGTATTGATAAATATTTATTTAAATTCAATAGCTCTATTTTAAAATACATTACCACTACAATGTAACTTAATTCTGTAATTACGTTTAACGTGTAAATTTTATTATGATTTATGATTCAAGGTTACAAGCCCAGTATATAAAATACGAACTTAATAATTTAATTTGCAGAAGTTCACAAAATGGTTTTTATTCGAATAAAAGAAACAAATAGTAGACTACGAAAATAGATATTTCATAACATGCAATGGATCCATATTAAATTGGATTTTTATCTTTTTGCATACCAATAAGCTACTATTTAAGTAAGAAACCCACGTCATATAAAACACACTCCCTTATATTATTAGTACATTTCTTATCCTTATGGATCAGCTGAAGACAGTTTTATTGTTAGTTCTGTCCGGTGAACTGTCTTTAGAGGTCGTTTTTGTTCACAAATTGTTTCTTGTTTTCAGTCATTTAAAACCTTGTTTAACCAGATAAAACGTTCTAATCACAACTAATAACACGTCCCCTAGTTATATAACCAAACAGAAAAGAACAAATCATGAAGTTAACTATAAAATAATAGAAACACAATTTTGTCGACACTAGCGATCAGTGTCACCGGACATGAACTAGACACGAAAAACGAGCTTCAAAGCTTACAATGGGATGTAAAGTTTACTTGTGTTGGTTAGTCTATGGTAAGACTATAATGCATTTTCCACCCTAATAATCATAAGAATAATGTTAAACATACTTATAAATATATTTATTTTATCGACTACGTTGCTCTTACTCCTAATTAATCGCAGGATACGACATTATGGTATCGATACGATATAGGTACTACACTTTCGGCAACACTGGCCAAAAATATTCGTGCTTGGCTCCCATTGGACGGCCCGCGAGGCTTCTGATTGGGAGTTAGCGAGTTCCGCCGAGGGACCGAGTTAGCGACTTCCGTACGAGGACGGAATTCGCTAACCCGGCTCTAGAGCGGGTTAGCGGGTTCCGGAGTTAGCCAATTCCGAAACCGAACAAGTTAGCGAGTTCCTCTCATCGACCAAATTTGAAGATAGGGCGTTTAACATGGGGTTAGCGAGTTCCAGAGTTAGCCAATTCCGCGGACCCGTATATAACATATTTTCTCTGTATTTTTGTTCTTTTATGCTCACTCTAAATCTCTAGTGTCCTTTTCTTGGCTGTATAAATTGTTTTAAGGATTTCACTTGAAAATATTTAAAAATATTATCTAAAACAATGTAAAATATAGGCCTATAGTAAAACCCCTCATATCCAACAATGACACCATGGGCCATGGTCCAGCCAAAAGGTCAGATATCGGGAGGAGCAAAAAACTTGTTTTTTTCTAGTAAGAAAGTCGAGCCCAGCAGAACACATATTTCCATGACCGCGAAAAGACAATTTTACTGATTTTGTAGGAGCAATGATGTTGCCGTGACCATGGAAGATGTTCACAATTTTGCCGTGACTGTTCTCCATTTTACGGTGACCGCATTAGATGTTCTAGATTTTAACGCTAACGTTCACAAACTGTGACGCCTGGCCAATTCAGGGTTTCCCGGTGAAATTGATAATTTCCTCATGATTCCTGTTTCATCCCGATACAACAAATTAAAAAATAACTCCTGGTGTTTCCGGAATTTCTGGTCTGTGGCTACCTTGTTGGTCGGATATCCCGAAGAAACGGTTATGAGGGGTTCTATTGTAGATCGAGGTATTAGTTAAACCTGTTTTTTTTTTTTTAGAAACTGTAATAATAAAATAAGTTACTGTCTAAATTAATCACCCATTTACAGTCCAATCAAACAGGTTCCAATATCTAAATGTCCAACAATAGGGAGTGCACTGTTAAATAAATGATAAATTGTAAATACATTATCTAATTAATTATAATGGAAGAGCTCTAATGTCATTGAACATTTTGCTAGGTCAGTTTATTTTGATGCAGAGGTTTCTTGTTTTGTTGTGAACTTTAGTTAGTGTGTACACATTCACATGAAAACCTTAAAACAACCAAATGTAATGTTTGTTCTTAAAAATGTTTTGGCCTAATATAGATCGTGACTTCAGTCTTATATGGCTTTTTTACATTCCTGTAAGTAACAAGTTTTTGTGTTGATAGCGAAAATACCATTATCATAGAGTTAGAAAATTATTTATTTCTTATACTAAGAGTCTATTCTGTTTACACCAATAATTTATGTTTATTAAATATTAATTTTAGTTATTCTGGTGTTATATGATTGTCATAATCCCATCTGAACTCAACCAACTTATTTAATTTAAGTTCCTACAAACGCTTAGTCTGGATTATAACATGTACAAATCAGTGGCTTTGTTGCTAAAATATAGATCACTAAGGGGGTTCACGAGCTGGGGACTTCATAGTCCGCGACCAGACGTTGGTCCCAGACTATATAAGCGCCGACCAAAAAACGGGTTCACGAGTCAGAGCCTAATGATGTGAAAGCCGGGCCCAGTGTAGGTCAAGACCAAATCCGTAGCAGAGCCTAATGACAGAGATTCGCAGGGAATTTCTGTTGAGACGTTGGTAACAACCAGTAACAACAGTCTGGAAACACATGTGAAGCCACTGCTGCTGGCATACGCACTTCCATACAATAGGATGATCGTGTGAAAAAAGGCTGAACCAAAACGTCCAAAACGATTATTTATCTTGTATTTCATTGTCCCAATGCTCGCCTATGATAATCTATCTAAGTTTATTGATTTATAAATACAACACTCCACGTTTGTATGGAATCAGATAATGGAAGTCTTTAGTTAAATATATTTTTCTGTGTGCATTATTATAATTCAATTAAGATGCATGACATAAAAAATCGGGTATTTATAACCGAATGGATGCCTATTTTGCATAAATGCCCGATAATTTAAGGTGGTGATTTTTGCATCGGATAATTTTAACTAAACTTATTTAAATGGTACAATTATTGAAACTAAAATGTATTTAGAGGTACTGATTATTAAATATAAAAATCGTATGTGTGTGCTGGTTTTAATCGTGGCTGTGACCTAAGAATATTCTTTCCGTTATTCTTACACTCTTTAATAATCTAACTGTAAAATGTTTCAAATAATATTCTGTAGTTAGCTCGTAATATTATTTATGTTGACAGCTATGGTTTTTAATTTACAATTTGTGTTGTTGCGATTTTTAAAATCAGTTTCATTACAATGCGTTTATATTTAGGAAAACATTGTTTTTTTTTCTTTGGGCATAGTTTCGAACTGAAAATTTGATTTATTCTGCTTTCATTACCAAACAAATAGCTACCATCCAAGCTTTACTAACATCCAATAAATCACCAGTTTCTCGATGAAAAGTGTCATCAAATGACTCATTGACGGCATCTTTGGAACATTTAAATCTATCTTTAAATTCATCAAGTCATAAAGGGTTTTAGTCATGATAACGAGCTGGTCCTATGCGAGGTAGTGGAGTGATGGTACATAATTGTTAACATAATACAGTATAGATATTTCATAGTCATATTCAATACAAACGGCGACCAGTGAGTACAACCATTGACTATATAACCACGGGTTATATAGTCAATGGTACAACACAAGACGGTGATATCACCGCGTACCGTACTCAACGACTGACGGTTTGCTTGATGTTTCCCACGGCAAAAAACTATTTTTGATAATTATGTTAGATAACAATGGTTTAACTGTTGTTGATTAGTTATATTTATATTCTACGCATAATTTTGTCGTTAAAATTGTAATAACAGGGGGTTTATCAGTAAAAAAAATCTTTGTTATGATACTACTTTATTACGTGCATAATTTATCTGTCGTTTTAAGTTGTTTGATGATTTTTTTTCATGTTTTATGAGCCTTTTTACCATTTTTACATATTTATTTAATATGGTGTTGTGGGTAATGAAATTGTTCGGAATTTAATGAGGAACCATATTTAAACATTAGTTTTTAACAAATAATAAAAATAAAGGAGCTAATTAGATAAAACTCGCATCATGTCACGTTAAACCTGCCTCCTACCAGGTCTGAGTTGGAGACCAAACACCATTGTTCTTTTGGGCCCGAACCATCTCATTTGGGCTCGGACTAGACTCGTGAACCCACCGAGACTAATGATAAGAAGCCGGGACTATCTGTAATTGGACTCGTGAACCCAACTTTTAAAACCGGGTTTTATCCCTGCACTAATTGTGTGCCACCTATCAGTTTGGTCCGCGGCTTATATAGTCTCGAGCTCGTGAACCCGATTTTTTAAGTCGCGGCTCAAATACCGCTTATTTCCGGATTCTGGGCTCGGACTACGATAGTCCCGAACTCGTGAACCGCCCCTATATAACACAAATTTAAAGTGTCAGTAAAACCAGGTTACTTAAAGCGCCCAAAACATTGTTATTATAGGTAGATCAAAACTAAATTAATGTAATAAATAATAATACAAAAAAATTTGGGGAATAATGAGTTGTGAGGTAGAACTGATAAAAAGGGATTCCTTCCCAATCGAAAAAGTTAAATTTCAATTCAGGACATTTGACATTTGGTCAGGTCCTGGTGGTTCTGACAATTTGCAACTTTATGTGAAGGAGATTTGAATAGCTTTTTTGCAAGCGTTGGAATAGAGCTGGCTGATTCAATCGACCCTGCTGATGACCCAGTTGAACTGCAATGACTTTGGCTTTGCACTAAACTGCACTTTTGACTTGCAACCGATCAATGGACTTTACTTACAACGTAATGTTTACGGTTAACGGGGAGGGTCAGCGCCGGGGCTGTGATGATGTCTCGAAAAGCAATTTCAATGTTCTATGTGACCCCTTACTTCATATTATCAACCATAGCATCACTTCTGGAGTATTCCCTGATTGCTACTAAAGTATTTCCATTGCACAAATCTTAACTATTTCATCAGTAAACAGTTTTCACCCTTTATCGCTGCGAAAAATTCACAAAAATGGCTGCCATTTCGAGACAAATTGAGATTGAGAAGTTGTTTCCACCAAAATGTTGCTCTAAGCATGACTTTTCTAAAAATGTACAATGTGATATAGGTTAACATAAGGAAATTTCTAGATTCAAACCCGTGACCTTCATTTCAGGAACACCCTACTTGGATCATGTTCTAAGTATTTTCTTCAATGGATTTATCTTATGTGATTTATGGGGAATAACTTTATTTGGCGTTTATAGTTGACAACATACTCCCGCAAAAGTATGTCAGGGTTGGTACTAAATTGGAAAATAAAATTCCCTGACTTTTCCAGACTGATATTATACTTTTTCCAGGCATACCGTAAGTCAATATCGACTAATCAAAATCAATAAATATTAGAAAAAATTTAAATATTTCTCTTATTTTTAATCACTCCCAAACAAAACTTGTTGCAAACTATATACATTTTGATTCCTCTTCCGTACCGATAACTATCTATATAAAAATGCACATCAGTGCTTATGTCGTTCTTTTTGCCATTAGTCATCACCCTGACAAAAATATGTAGAGCAAAATTTAGCATATCTGTAAAAAGGTAGTCGTCTTTCAGGGGAAATTCCAGAACTTTTTCAAAATTCCCTGACTTTTTCAGATTTTCCCAGACCGTACCAACCCTGTATGTGCACGGGTGGTCTGATTCACACTCATTTGCCTGCAAGATTTTATCCCAGGCATCACACACTAAATATTTTAGTTATCGCTGTATAACGTACATAACCCTTTACGTAGCTTGCCCAGTGGCCAGTAGGGGTGTGTGATGCATTGAAATTCCGATTCGATTCAGTGGTGGTCAATAAACGATTCGATTCATGAGGGAGTCAGTACAGTAGACCCTCTCTTAACCGACCCTAATGGGACCGGACCTAGGTCGGATAACTCAAAAGGTCGGTTAAAACGGGCAATCCCAAAATCATAACATAATTAAGTGTTATTCATTTGGAATTATATATTCATTATTTTGAAGTCATACTTGCATTATTTATAAAATAAACTACTCTTATCTCATTTTTTCCTATTGATAGAAAAGTCATAAATAAACACAAAACACCGTTAAGTTAAATAGGCCTACTTTCAGTGGAATCCTACACTCATCTCCATTCATACTTGGCTTTAAATACCTACTTTGTATGGTCACCATTTAATAAGAAACGTAAACGTAATAGATTATAGTACTAGGCAAGAGTCAATAAAAACTCCTATTTTAATAACTTTAGTACTGTAATGTATTAATTAATTGATACTTTCCAAATCTACCGTAATACAGTACAGAACCTTTTGTCGAAATTAAAGATACAAGCAACCATTTTGTTACAAGACAGGATAGGATGTTTATTTATAGCCTCTCACTGGATGCTCGAGGAACAAAAACTATCTTGACCTTGGAGTTGTTAACCCCCCTTCCCTGCCCTCCCTACAAGTTGCGTTGTTTGTTTATTCTAGCGATAAGATAATCAGTTCTCAAAATCGTAACACACTTTACGATTTTATAAATTTGCCACACAGATAACAAATCAGATCAGGATGTGATCGCGCTACGAACGATGATGAAAAACTGACAATACGGTATGCTACATTTTTTGTGATCAATACAAAATAATTTATTCTTAGTCACATCCTGAGGAGATAAGCGTATGGTTCAGTTCTCATCGCCCAGCGTGGGAGCGGAAATGCCGAGATTCCTAGAAAGTGGCGGTTAAGCCGAACTGCTCTCAAAGCAAGGTCGGTTAAAACAAACAGTAATATTTTACAATGGAAGGCGGATAATCCGATTATCGGTTAAGAGGGGGTCTACTGTATCCATATACGAAAAATGCCTGCAGAAAGTCAATGCAACAGTACAGAAGCACGTTGGTGTTGCGTTTCCTTTACGAAGGCGTTGTTATTTAATTAATTCTTTGCATGTAAATATTGCTTTGTTTTACAATTTTTTGTTTTGACATTGCAAATGATGAGAGGGTTTGTTTTTTTGTCTTGATGTAAGCAGTGTAAGACATGCTTTACTAATGTAAACATAGCCAAAACTAGATAGGCTACTCCAAAATCATTCTAAAAATAACACAAGTCTGAAAAATTGTTACTTGATACTACTAGCATACATAAAGGTGGCCGTGCTGCTAGTAAGATTGATGTTTTAGGCTGATGAATTTGGTATTTTTGTAGATTTATCCTCTGATTTTATCAATGCAAACCAATTGAAAGTTTCAGTATAAATCTAACAAATGTTTTTATTTGTTTTCACCCAAACATATCTTAATTTGTGAAATCAATATGACAAAATAGGTAACATGCTTTAACAATATGATTCTGCAAACTAAAAATTATGAAATAGGCAAGTAATGCAGCTCACTGACATTTCCAACAATACAGGTTCTCCTAATATACGATTGAAAATAAATATTTCTTCATCTAAAATTCATATGTTATGTATGAATAGGCCTGATACTTCGTCAAAAAAAATTTGCATTACATAAATGTGGTAAATTTTAATTATTGCTAATCCACTCTATTGACAGGTATGAATAGAAAAATGCTGTATTGCTTTGAATCGAATTGCTGCGTCGAATCGAAAATTGTTTGCTGCTTCGCACACTCCTATTGCCCAGTATGATTTTTGCAATCCAGGAATCAGGAGTCCATAGTTACATGCAAACATATCTTCCCAGAATTTTGATTTACTTGACTCACTGTGTTTAAATTTCAAACAAATAAAACTGTGATCAATCACACTGCAAGCGAATTGCAGAATATTTTTTCAGAGGATAGCAGGCTTACCTGAATGGGAAAGAGTCCAAACTGGCACAGGAAACACAAAACTTTACACTATATACACAAATATATAATGTTTTGTGAATATATATATAGTGTTAAGTTTTGTTTCTTGTTTCGAGTTTGACTGCCTATTTTGTTTCAGAACTAATAGGGGAATTGACAGATACATTTTATTTTAAAACACCTGGACTATTTGTGCAAATCAAATAAGGTGCCATTGGTAAATGAAATAAACCATAAAAGATAGCATAGTTTATTTATAACAAACTGTTCCATTCTCACAGAAAACAATACTAATATAAAACTAGTACTGGGGCACTACAAACAAACATACAGTCTAACAGTTGCCAAAAAGAACCAGGTTTGCAATGTATGACTAGTTTAAGCAACATAATACAGAGCGACCTAGCCCGGTTTGGCTCTCTGTGGCCACATTATTAGTTATTGCGATGAATTTACATTTACATACAGCAGTCTTTTATTAAAAACCTTCAAGCAAATAGAGAAAAAATTATAGTTTCGGTAGGTACTTGTCTTTGATATTATATATCCCATCTAAATATATTAAATCACATGGAATGTTAAAATCATTAGAATTTACTGAAGTAAGTTTTAAGTTAAAAATCAATTCGTAGATAAACATAAATCTGTCCACAGAGATATGGGTTAAGATATTTATTTCTATGTTCACGATAAAGTAGGTACAATAGGTAGTTGAAAATCAGCAAGACCTAACAAAGGTATCATAGCATGTTTTACACGGTTCAACTAAATCTCACTGTACATTAATTTCCTTATAAAAATTCTAGACAAAAGATGTAATACTACGATAAGATATAATACAAACAGATATTTTATAAATACACCACAACATTTTCTTGTATTAGACGTTATAATGAAAATAACCACCCGAAAAAAAACTTAAAGAAATAATGAATGAGTCCGACAACATAAGTGTTTACAACCCCAGAGTTGAATTTACAAAAACACTGCAAGTAAATGCTACACCCGCTGTCACTCTATATTTTGAGACAAACCAAAATTAACAGTATCCACAACTATGTTGTTTTTTTAAAAAAAATAGTGCTACCTGAGCAATTGACAACAAATCAAACTACACATTTAAAATTGATATTTTCACCATTCAAATACACAAACTAATCTTTGATTAGAAGCCATTGTTTAAAATGATTTAAGATGTACATTTTATTGTTCTTAGAACAAATTAAATAAGCTAAAGGGAAGAAAATTCACTAAATATATTAAGTAATAGAATAGGAAAAGATCATGGACTGACTAAATGGTTATTTAGACTCCCCACCAATGTATAAAACACTGTCGTGTCACTTTACCTGTGGCCACATAAATAAAAGCCTTCCATCTAATACATCACTCCGCACATAATGTGTGTTTCTAGAATGTATCCATTCATTTTGATGGTTTTAAACTGTTTTTAGTTAATACAAGGATCCAGTCCTGATTTGTTTGAACAAAAGGGAGTTTATGGACCTTTGAGAAGCATGAAAGAGCAAATGGCACACAGTTTTACAAATTAATCGATCATTAGTCGACAATACAGTTCGCAAAACAAACATTTGTTAATTTATATAGCGTTCTTTAAAAAATACCCTTAAAATATTTTTGGTCTATTCCCAATAACCTACTTAGTAGTTGTTTTTAGTCATTAACCAATAAGCTACTATAATATTTTGTTGTAGTTTCCATATTTTACAAGTTAAGACATATACAGTATTTACAAGAAGAATAGGATAGCAACTAACAGTTCAGTTATACAAAAGGTCTACACTCTAAATATAAGCTTAAATTTGTAACAAGTTCTATCAAAATTGCGCCAGATTGGTAACCAAATTGAATTCATTAGATTCTGCAAATGACCTGAACCTTAAGTTGAATTATTCTGATTACTTGAACTTAAGTTACAATAACAACAGGTAACAAATCGTAACTTACTAACAATAGACTAATTAACACAAAACAAAAGAGGTATAAATCTGAAGAGGTCTACTTGAATTAAAATACAAAGTGGCAGCAGGAGTGATGGGAAAAAAGTGACGGATACTTAATCTGCTGCACTCTCGGACTCTTCCAAAAAAGCAAATTTGTTTGAACCCACAAAATTCTGAAACAAAAAGATGTTATTAAAACAATGTAAATTTAACAAAATCATTATTTAACTACTGTAATCAATGCAAACTTGTTATTATAATAACTTCTATACAGTTCTACAATATTGAATATTTGAATAATGTAGTACAGTAATCTCTCAGTAATACTAAGCACACAGGTCCAATTCCATTTTTTTCTAGATAATCCCTTTAAACAAAAAAAAAAAAAAAAAAAAAAATTACCAATAAACAAACATGCATGTATCATTCAATAATGTTGTAATATTGTATTTTAAATAACTTCTTGATCAGCATTGTAGGTGTTATTAAATTTACGGAAAGTAAATAAAAGAAACGTCTTATAACACTTGAAACATATATTTACGCTTATACTGTTACTCACAAGACGGTAAATATACAAAAAAGGTGGTAAGTGGTACCACTTAGAGGTGGTAAGTGGTATAGGTACCACTTACCACCTTTTTTGTATATTTACCGTCTTGTGAGTAACAGTATAAGCGTAAATATATGTTTTAAGTGTTATAAGACGTTTCTTTTATTTACTTTCCGTATTGTATTTTCTCAGTCATCCAACCCGTGTGGGCCCAAAACACAGTAAACTTAGATTATTTTTTTTTTACCTAATTCATGTGTGAGCATTAGAATGGACAACGACGGAATCGGTCGGTTCGGGTCAGAACAATTGTATAACACAGATAAAACAATTATAATGAGCCTAAACGTAACGCAAACCCATATCAATAATATAAGAATGCTAAATATAAGATTCTAATCTAAAGTTTTATTTCATAACCTAAAAACCCCAGTACGATCAGTACAAAAATATCATGACACTCCGACAGATTTGGTGGGATGTAATTTTAAATAGCAGAAAATGTTGATGATTTTAGGTTTGCGGTTAGTAAAAGTAGTCACAGTTTACATTTGGTAGTGACATGGAATTTTGACGAGAAGATGATGGTAATGTCCACTGGCCATTGGTCTGCGTCAATGTATTTTTAACATAATAGCAACTTTGCCGAGGGGTGAGTGTAACTTTGGCGTTTATAATCGGTGTATTATTATTGAATTTGAATTATTTATATTTACCTTGTGAAGTGTTTGTGTACATGTATAGCAATGATATTCATGCATAGATCATGAATAATACTTAAGTATGAATAGTGGAATGTAGTATTTACATGGACTTCTTCGGGTTACTTAATCTATACAGGATGATTGGTAGTCAGTGTGAAAATTTGTAAGCTATTTTTATGAACACAAATTGCGATAAAAATACACAATTTGGATAGTTATATCTCACTCCTACTTCCGGCAACAACCATTTTTAGATTTTTCTAAATTTCTTGACCTTGTCTAATATAATATTGTTTGTCTCAACTAGTAACCATCATAATGATATTTTCAATGGCATTTTTAGAATCCGCATTGAATGTTCTATCTGAAAACGTATAGTTTGTTACAGCAAAATCTATGTAACACCTTCTAAGTTCAACTTGAATAACAAATTTGGAAAAACAATGAAAAGGGTGCAACAACTTGCTTAAGAAAAATTTTGTTAAAAACTGTCAAATAGTATATATGTGGTTAAAAATACCTGCCTAATGTCTTATGCATGTTCTTGGTGCACATATTTACTGTACATGTAAATTATTGTATTAATAATATATTCAATAGGACACATTTTTTAAGCATGCTCAGCCAGATGTCCTGATCTTATGCCTGTGGAATTCTGCTTTTCTATGATTTTTGTCTGTTTTTTCCAAATTTCTTATTTAAGTCGAACTTAGAAGGTGTGTTACATAGATTTGGCTGTAACAAACTATACGTTTCCCGATAGAACATTCAATCCAGATTCTAAAAATGCCATTGAAAATATCATTATGTTGGTTACTAGTTGAGAAAATAGTTATTTGTGCAACTAGTGAGCAAAGTGAGCAATTGACTCACTCGAGAGAAATCCTTACTCACGAGCCATAGGCGAGTGAGGAATGGTTTCGCGAGTGAGGCAATTGCACTTTGCACTCGAGTTGCACATTATATTTTTCCTACAGTTACAATAAAACAATAGTTATTTGTGCAACTAGTGAGAAAAGTGAGCAATTGACTCACTCGAGAGAAATCCTTACTCACGAGCCGTAGGCGAGTGAGGAATGGTTTCTCGAGTGAGGCAATTGTACTTTGAACTCGAGTTGCACATTATACTTTTCCTACAGTTACCATGAAACAAATAAATTGGTGAAGAAACATAACCTATTTTTACACAGAAGTGAACTTTTAATATAACATTTAACGTGAAGTGACAAATACAACAGTACATTTATTTACTATTTGAGTTTGTGTAAACATAACCCCCAAGACGGATCGTGTTAGTATGGTTGTATCTTAAATTTGTGTATCTATCGCTGTTTTGTGTCGCTATGACAGATCGTGTTAGTATGATTGTAACTTAAATTTGTGAATTAAACGTTGTTTTGTGTAGCTATATTTTGTTTGTTTGTTGTTTTTTCTTTCAAATGCCTCCGACAATACGACAACGAAACATAGACAGGAGGCGTAATCGTGATAACGACCGCAGCTACAGAACAGTGACACATAATAGGCTCAACTATTAGGTTAAAAATGCGCCCTAACACTACCCCAAAACAACTTTTCGTTCTCAATTGGCCCTCTATCAATGACCTGTGTTGCCTGTACAGCGAGGCATTTTGAGAAGGAGAAAACCGGCCGGAATGCTTTAGGTTTATCAATAACGAAGATTAACATGGTCTGAGTTACAAACCGGTAATCTTTGAATTGACTCTTTTAAATTCATTGTGAATATGACTGTTATTTGTTTTGAAACTCCTGTAATACTTTGTAATTGCTCGAATTCGAGCAACATGTACACTAGTATGTGTTATTAAATGAATTTATAACAGGTATCGGTATGGAGAATCAAAACCAAAGTTCTGGAATCAAAATCAGTATCGGAATCGACCAATTCTGAAATCGGCCCATCACTTATTATAAGTCATAATATCATATTTTGAGTGCATACAAACAATTAGCGGTTAATGGACTTCAGTAAAGTATGTGTTAGTAAAATGTTTGAGTGATAAACCTAAAAACAGACAATCTATTATACAGTCCAACAAGTAGGCCTACTCACAGGGGTTTGATGTTCTTGAAGCTTAGGCATTCTTATTGAATCGTCAATCTCTCGTTTTGGCTCTCTGTAACCAAGTTATAAAATTATAAATTTATTTTGAATTAAAAGAATGGACTTCAAATTGAACAGCAATATATGAACAAATTAGTATGAATGTTTCAAATTCGATTCTATTTTCTTAAAACACAAAATAGGCCCCTATTTTGAGGATTGCTGTAAAGCAAGGCAATTTGAATAGCATCAGTAAGCGATGCTAATTCTTTAAATAACTGTCCATTTGAACACTTATTATTCCTTGTTTTACAACACATTTAGAGTGAATGGCAAATACTATACATAAGTTCAAGGTGTTGGTGTCAATGGTAAAGTGTGTTAGGGATGATAGCCTGTGACTTAGTGAGTGAGCTGGGATACCAGTTCTGCACTTAGACCTGTGGTTTTGGTGGACCTGGAGTAAAATTAGATAATTAAAATGTGCTAATGTCCATATTAAAATGTTCTACTTTAAGTTGCGAGCGTGGTACCAAAACTGCTATCCTAAAACTGAAAAATATCAACAAAAGTTAGTGTTGAAAAAACAGGAAAACCTTGCAGAAAAGCCCACACAATAACTTGCAGAAAAGCCCACACAAAAACTCTCAAAAATTATTTTATTACCATTTGATCCTTTAATAAAAAAACTAGTAGTGAGGTGTATGTTGAAAAGCTGTTTTATCCTTGGATTCCGCTCCTCGAGGCAATACAAGGTAACAAGACGACGGTGCGTTGAATGAACAGGCTGAGCAGGCGCCAGATGGCATACATGCATTTCAAATACACTGTGTGTAAGTAGGAAGTAATTAAAGGGAAATGTTAGTTATACAAAAATAGCAATGACGACAAGGAAGAGAAAAGCACAACTGCTCTTACAAACATTAGTTATCATTATTCTATTTTACTATTAATTAATTCCGTTTCATTCTGTTACATTGAGATTTTTCAAGACTATGTCATATTGTTGACTTATGGTTACGAAACTTAAGTTTTACTTCAATTACCTCTTATATTTGGACTTAATTTAACACTGGTATTATGATTTCCTCAACACTTTTGACATATTATTTATAAATAGTTTTTACAGAAAATTTTTAAAAATTCAAACCTCAAATATTTTTGTAGGCACTTTGAATAGTTAAATATAATTTAAATAAGTAGGACTTTTTTTTAAGATAAATAGGCCATTTAAAAAATATTTATGTAGATATATATATATATATATATATATATCATAAATCAGTTTTCTATCTAGTCATTAGGCTATACAGGGTGTCCCGTAAGTAAACAGCCAAACTCCGGGAAATGGTTGTATGGGTAAAAATAAAGAGAAAATCAAGAAAAACATTTTTTCCAAAATCGCCTTGTTAACCAGATATCCGCCATTTTGTATTTTTTACATAAACATTTTTATTTTAGGATTTTTTCAACTGATCTTTATAAAACTTGGTATGTAGGTTAAGGTAAAAGAGCCCCATGTTAGAAAAAAAAATCATCTTGATTCAACTTAAAATTTCAAAATGGTGGCCATTTTAATTTTTTTTAACTTAATCACTCAACAACGGATAGTTTTATGAAAAATGCTAAGGATACTTTTATTTACAATTTTTAATTCCCTATCAAACGATACCAAGTTAATAGATCGAATATGAAATAGCTGAAATATTACGATTTTTAGTTGTAAAATGGGGTAGAATAAGGCAGAAACTATTCAGGTTTGTCCCATTTATTTTACAACTAAAAATCGTAAGCTATTGCTTATTCGATATTTTTGAACTTGGTATCATTTGATAGGGAATTAAAAATGCTAAATAAAAGTGTTCTTGCCATTTTTTTTATAAAATTGGCCATTTTTGAGTAATTTAATTTTAAAAAATAAAATGGCCGCCACTTTGTAATTTTAAGTTGAATCAAGATGATTTCTTTCTAACATGGGGCTCTTCTACCTTAACCTACATACCAAGTTTTATAAAGATCGGTTGAAAAAATTGTAAAATAAAAATGTTTATGTAAAAAATACAAAATGGCAGATATCTGGTTAACGAAGCGATTTTGGAAAAATTGTTACTCTTGATTTTTTTTCTTTATTTTGACCCATAGAACCATTTCTTGGAGTATGGCTGTTTACTTACGGGACACCCTGTATAATGTATTATGTATTGTTCTGAATGTCATTCATGTATTCTTTTGTATATCTGTGAATAAAGTATCTTTGATTTGAATTGAATTGACAATTTGGTCACCACTAGGCAGTGACAGTTGATTATGGTAATTTATTTCATATTTGACCGGTTTCATTGGAAATGGTTTGTTTGAATAATTATGCTTCATGCAAAATGTCCTGAAAGTTTTAGTAGCTAATCAATAAGACTACGTTTAATAGTATATTATGTTACTAGTCCTGAAAATAGGTGTTTACCGGACGAGTGTGGTCATTCCCGTGCGAGACAAAGTCGAGTGCGGGATTACCATACGAGTCTGTTAAACACATTTTGGACAAGTGACGTACGATATTTTACGCCATACTACTCTAAGCTAACTTAACAATAAAAAATCTGTACAATCCTTATATATTCCCACCGACTAATGGACTAACAATCACTACTAATATCCTCTAAGAGGTTATGTTTTTGTTTATAACCACTCATTGCTAAATATAATCAGCCGTTTGATGTCCGGTAAAAACTCATTACAGTACAGTAGTACGTAATGAAACCTTATTTGATCAAGCTGGCGGCAAACAGCTGTTTTCTGGACCTAATCCTTGCTTGGAAAGTTCGTTAAAATAGTGTAGTGTGGCGTAAAGATATGAAACAATATAAATGTACTTATTTCTACAAAAAAAAAAAAAAAATCATACTTAGACCAGTTTCTAAAATGAAGGAAAGTTGAAGTTACACACTTCACATGTGTTAACATCCTCAGGTACCAAGGGAGGAGAAAGGTTAGGATTGGATGTATGACTGGGTTCAACTGTCATTAAAAGTCCCTGTTCTTGAGTAGCTGTCCTACAAAGAGAACCACAATATGTGAACATTAGAGGTAGAGCAATAGAAATACAAATACATGTACAGTCCAACCTCAGTATAACGAATCTGAAGGGACCGAACTGAATATTCGTTATATCAAGGATTTCGTAAAAACGAGGTTCGTTATATAGAGGTTAGGTTTGCAGGAATTTCGCTAAGTCGAGGTTCAGAACCAGCGTCGGTCAATATAGGTCGGGATTTGACCTCATAAAAATACAGTACAATTAAAGTAGCATAGGCTACAAAACTTTACAGTACAGTGTTTACATTGTACAGTAGAACCTAAATTATCCGGAATAATAAAGGGGAGGGATCTTGAATATTGCGCAATCATGACAATGGCATTGACCTTGGTACAGGTTAAAAACTGTAAGTTTAAAATCACAGCTTGTTCTAACCCTCCTAAAACCTAGCCAAACACTGTATTGCGTTTGCGTAGTCATAAACCATGTAAAGAACAAAACAAAACAGTGTAGTAGAAAGTTTTGTAAGCTACTGACTACTGCGTGATAGGCCGGTAGGCTAGTACAGTACTGATTTATCACAACAGAGAAATGTCAATAATAATCATTAACATATAGCATTGGTGTTGCTTGTTGAAACAAATCGTATTGAAAACAATAAATTATTAGATAAGTCATTATAAAAGTGTATAATCATAGCCAACTTAAGGATAATAAAAACACTCGTAAAAGGAATGTTAAAATAACGATGTTGCTATTCTTTCTCTTTGGTTTTGTTTTTATATTCTTTCTTAGGTTTCTCTTTATCCAAAAATTGTACAATTCACCATAGTTATCCCATATCGCCCAATCACAGCTTACTAAACATTACGTCGTCATCAGTCCTCAGTGAATGAAATCAGTTCTCAGTTGCAAGTTGCAACATAGCGCGCGCGCGCAGCGACAGCAGACAAAGATGTAAAACGGAGCAGACGAATGTTAGCGTCACCTTTCCATTTAATTTGATAAAGAAACAGATTTTCCCAAAACAATAATTGGGTGGGGGATTTGTTATATCGAGGGAAAGACGTAGACAATTCGTTATGCAGAGGTTAAATTCACAATTTAGAGGTTCTGACAATGATAAATTCGTTACATTGAGGTGTCTTATTTTAGCCAAAATCACAAAAAATTTGTTAAATCAAGGTCGTTACTATGGTTTGTTCGTTATGTAGAGGTAAAATATACATTGTGTCTTATGGAGAGTTCTAGGGGATTAAAAAACATTCGTTATATCAAGGAATTCCTTATATCAAGGTTCGACTGTATTGACAAGTGAATAGGAAAGCATTGGTTATCACTAACATCAGTTCTTTTAGGTCAATACTGCTAATGTACAAACTGTTTTCCCCAGAGGGGGTTTTCCCAGCATAAAAGGTTAACAAAAATATTACAATACAGTATCAGCCAATAAAATTACTTAAAACTAAATAACAGAGCACATTTGAAGCTTACTGGTGTGCTGTAAAATTGCACTTGGCTATTAATTTAAAACCTAACAACTTTTTAGTCAAAATATCTACACTGAGATAAATTATGTTTTAAAATAGCTTAATAGTGATCGTAATTGATAAATTTGAGTGTCAACCCTAACCCATCCCTAATAGTAAATGATTAGATTAAATAAATAGGTCTTATTCACAAACAATTTTATGTACACAGACTTAATGAATACTGTCATTGAGACAACCACTCACTTTTCATTTACATTGTCGCTCTTATTCAATAGACAAAAAATTGTATTTACATTTACCTAACCTTATCCGTTACTCTAGGTGAAAATTACAGCTAATTAAATCAATATACTAGAATAGAATCTAGACCAAAAACAATTATAATTAAGTGTGAAACATTTAATGTTGAAAAGCCCCTAAGTGCAAGCTTTGTCCATGAACATTTCCAGCTTAACACTAAAAAGACACATCTTAAGACTAAAAAGCTTAAACATCAAAACTGATAAAAAAAAGCAGGGCTTGATTTGAGACTGATCACACAGTGAA